AGGTCGATAATCTCCTATTTGTTTATGATAACAATAAATATATAACTTAGATATAAAAATATGTCTCCCCTTATCTTTTGCAATGTATTAGGTGACTCTTCATCCTTGAATTCCATGTATTAGATATAGTCTCTTCGGGTGAGAAAGCAAGCAGTGGTGACCTAAACATAGCTTCAATTTCGTCATCATCAAGCCTTTTTTTTTTTCCAGCATGTACTATTAGTTGGTTCTTAGAAACTTAAACATCGTCTTTATTTAACACATATTTTATCATCCTTATTTAACATATATTTCATCTTGGTAAGGGTCTTATTATCTATTTCCATGAGCTTTAAATATGGATTCCTATCCATATATGCCAAAATAATCCTAAAATGCTAAAAAATAGAAGTTAATGCTTGACCATAAGGAAAAGACTTTTGCTTTTGATTATGCAATATGATCATATTCCTAATCATAACATATATATATATATATATATATATATCATTGGCCATTTTCTAATTATGCAATCGATTAAGCATATATCGATAAAAGTTATTCCATTAAAATGCCCTTTCTTTGGTAATATACTATGTGTTATTATCCTATATAGCAATCTAGGTCTTAACAACAAATCCTCACTTTATAATCCTAGATTCCATTGTTACATATTAGCAAAAAAAAAAAAAAAAACCATAACTAACTTTCTTGAAATCATATATTATACTTTAACCCATTTACTAAAAAATAGTGTCTATAACCCATTTCCATTGCCCAACCCTCTTTCTCTAGAAATAGACTTATTTGCAGAAGAATTTATAAATCTTTGAATATCATCACTTTCTCAAGAGGTTAGATCATTGACCCTTTTACTCGATTCCATGTCTCTTATGCGTTTTTTGCTTGCCATTATACTTGAATCTTCAAGAAATAAGCTACAAATGTGATCAAGAGGATGGATTTTGGAGAGTGTTTGAGAGAGAGTCGATGTTAGGGTGTTTTTATTTTGTGATTTTGATTGAGAAATAATGAATATATATATTGTTGAGCAACCGGTTGACCGATTGTTTTGGGTTACGCTTAACTGGTAGGTTTATTGAATCCCAAGTTAAGAATTTGCTAAAATTCTATCAAATCCTTTCTTTATACTAAAAATAAATCCTTTCCATATAAAAAATATATCCAAAAGAAAAACAAATCGAGGGGATAAAAAATTAAAAATATGGATAGTAGCCTCATTATCAATTATTTAGCTCAACCGACCAACCAGTTGATCCAGTTATATGAGTCAATCAAATGGTTCACATAAAAACTAATATTCTTCAAATTTTATCATCCAAGTATATTTTATTAGTATAATATACCATTTTGTCCACCCTTGTGATTCTAAAACAGTATCCAACTCTAATCTTAAGAGGTTATTGTTTACACAATATCTATCCTTTATTTTTGTAACATCAACCGTTTTGTCTCAGACCTAGATAGCCAACAACATTTTACAACTGAATGAGTTTCTTAGACATTTCATGCTTAACAAGTATACATTTTATCATTTGAATATATCCAACTTATTTTGATTTATGTATATAGGAGACACCACAAACATCTTTAGCATGAACAACATCTTTAACTTGCAAGTCTTCATGATGGTAATATAAATACATCTAGACTATAATGTTTTAGGGTCATTTAGGTTTTGAGTAAAGATTACTTGAAGAATAATTTTTCTTTTTAAGATATGATAAGCTCTTTGTGGCAAGGTTGTTATATATCACTAGTTGTTCAATTATCCGATTTTTAACCATAATTCACATGAATTACCAAATTAGAAATCTCATGAACCCTTTTAGGATTGAAGGATTGCTACACTTTGAGTTCTAACTCTCTATCTCTTTTAGGATTGAAAATCACTAGCTATTATGATCTTCAACATATTAGAAAAAGTTATTTATGGTTTGAGTTAACCTTTCAACAACTAGTTTATCAATATAACTAATGTTCTTTCATTTGTATTGTTTTGATATAGACATTTGACCATAAAGTGTGTTTGCATTGATAAATCATATCAATTTTCATCACGATAGTTATTACTTATTTGAATAAAATTTGAAATTCTTTTCAAATATCATTTTACCTTATATAAGGATTTCATATTTAATATTATTCGAGAACACATGTAATATTTTATAGTTTCTAAAATGATGAATTCTTTCTTGGTCACTCAAATACCTTCATAAAATTTCTATTATATCCAATGTCTAATCATTTTTTACATTTGATTAAAGAAACATATAGTGGACATTAAAATATAATATTGACTATATAAAATAACTTAGTTATCTCAAGTCTAAGTGATGCAATCCAAGCATTAAAGGATCCATAGGAGGTTGTGTTGGTCCAGTTACAAGGTTTAGAACTAAGAGATTCAAAGAGACTTTCAATAGACATCTTCAAGTTACGTGGGTTAAGGTGGACTTCAAGAGGATATTAAATAATGGGCAAGCCGTGATTAATTTGAGTCATGTTCAAGAAGGGTTTTTTTGGTGAAAACAAGACCTTTACACAAAGATTGAGATAAAAAGACTAGATTCGGTCAGTTTAACCTTTCATTACCTTTTTTTATCATAACTAGAGCTACAAGTCAAATGTTTAGGTGATTCCAGTTGTGATAGAAACTAAACTTCCATACCTTTCAAATGGTACAAGATACACCTTTTCATTTTTCAAGATGAGAAAGAACTATCCATGTGAAGTTAGGATTTGCTGCCACAGGGCCAATAATTTCACAATCAATAATATTCAGTTATCTCAAGTTTAAGAATCATTTACACAACTATCACATGAGCCTTTTCATATACATAGGTAATCTATTTATATAGAATTCTCTTACAGGTTAGTTCATTATACATGTCATTTAACAAATATCTGCATATTAGTTTTACTTATTCCTCATGTCCTAGTTTATGAGAATAATTGTTTGTTTTCATAAAGAAAAAAAGAACATAATATACACCAATCATAATAGCTTTAATTAATATTCAATTTTAATAGAATATTGACCTAGAACATTTAAAAACGATATTTTGATGCAATATGAATCTCATAATTATAACAATTTTATGATTTTTTTAGTAAAGCTTTTTTGTCTCATAAACTTTATCTTTACTCTAGATTTATTAATTAAATATAAATAAAAATTAAAGATAAAGAAAGCCTTTATTAATAACAAATATATTTTGCATGAATAAAATCAATGCTACATTAACTAACTAAATGACTACAAAACATATTCAGTAACAATAACATTATTAATGAATTCTAAAATTTAGATTTACATGCCTTAATATTCAGTCTGATCATCTATCAATAGTTTTTAACACCAAACCTTTGATTAATTTTTAAACTAGGAAAGATGGAGTTCTCATTACGAGTAATCACTATAGTTTTATCTTTTTTGGTAGATGATTGGTTCTTATCATTACAAGCTCCATATCACACGATATAGCTTAAACAAGCAATCAAATCTTCAGTTGTTTAGAAAATATGTTCAATTCAAGCATGTAAATCTATATTTTGAAAACATAGCCTATTATAGTGCAATTAAATAATTGGCATCAGTTTTTTACAATCTTGCATTTAATTATAGGTACTGAAGTCTTACCTTGAATATTAACGTATGGAAGTCCACGACATGACTTTCCAAACTAGCTTGATATTTGTTTTTTAACTTACATTAGTCATAAGGCTCAATACGAGCTTAACTTAGGTTTTCAAGAAGAGTTGCCTAGTATGCGCCTAGGTTTTCCAAATCTATTTCTAATGCATCTTTAATTTAGAATAGAAAATTGAATTTCAAGTCCAGTCTAGTGTAATTTTGCTTATTTTTTCATTGCATAAAAAGTTTCAACTATTTACTCATGCACTGCAAAATTCAAGTAGTCCAGTCTAGTGTAATTGCATCTTATGATTGAAGTACGTAAAATCTTTGCGAAGTTTCTTTCATTTCGAAGGGCACACAACCTTCATCACGTTTACTCATGCACTGCAAAATTCAAAACTTCCATTTATTTATGAATGTTTATCCTTGCCAATAAAAATATTTAACAAAATATTATTAGTCTCCATCTTGACTTTTAACCACCACCTTCATCTTACCACCACCACTAACATCTCCTATTTCCCCACCTCTTTTTTTACCACAACCGCGGCCTCCATCACCTTCTCACTACGACCTCTTCTCTCACTATCATTGCCATTTAACCACCACCCCTTTTATTATCATTGTGAAATCCATCATCACCGCTATTAAAAAGTATTTTCCATGTAAAATATTTTCTTACCATGCTATTTCATACATTTATATGGTTTATTTTCCATAAATAATATTTTTAATTTCAAGTTGTCTTTACTTTTTGATTCTCTACTCAATAACAATATAATCTTCCTCGTCTTCAATTATGTAAAAACAAATTTAAAAATTATTATAGAAACCTACCTTTCTATATATTTGGGAAAGTCAGAACTTTAAAAAAATGGAATTGAAGGTATACTTTTGTGGCATAAAGATCCTGTCTTTAAAATGTAATTTATATCCACCATAAAGTCGTTGCAATTGGATCCTAGCAAATACACTCCTAGAACTGTATAAAGATATCAAGGGAATAAAAAATCTGAAAGAACTAAGGATTGAAAGATATTAATATTCTATTTCTTAACTTTTGATGTATAGAGTTTTTTTGATTGACAATACAACCATATTAACATTCTATATTTTATTAACAACATTATGACAATTTAAGATTAATGACAAATTAATCTGAAGATATTATAGTCTTCAAGAAAAGAAAACACCCTACGTAACTTTTGTAGATGGCATGAATAGAGATTTAGATGAGGGGACAAGGGATTAATTGCTCGTTGGCATAGATAGATATTTTATTGCTTTCCGCTTATATCTTCACAAATTAAGGTGATAAAATTACTATTCTCATTTCTCTGATTTTTCAGACTGGTGGAAAATGGCTATCAAAAGTGCTGGTGGATCCATTGTATCTAAGATAGCAGAAGTCTTGGTGGAACCAGCAATCAAGCAGTTCCGTTATATGTTCTGTTTCAACAATTTTGTTCAAGAATTCAATGAACAAAAGATGAGCCTGGCTTTGGCACTTTATCGTCTACAAGATGCTGTCGACGTTGCTAAAAGGAATACTGAAGAGATTGAGATTGATGTCAACAAATGGCTGGAAGATGCAAAAAACGAAATTGAAGGTGTGAATCGTTTGGAAAATGAAAAGGGAAAAAATGGCAAATACTTTACTTGGTGTCCAAATTGGATGCGACAATTCAAGTTAAGCAAGGCACTGGAAAAGAAGACAGAGACTTTGCGAAAGCTTGAAGACAATAGCAAAAAGTTTCCCAAAGTGTCCCACAAAGCACCTCTTCAAGACATAGAATTTCTTCCATCAGAGGGACTCACACCCTCGGAATCGTCAAAAGAAGCTTTCGAACAGATTATGAAAGCTCTCGAAGATGACAACGTCAATATGATTGGACTGTACGGCATGGGAGGGGTGGGTAAAACCACCCTGATGAAAGAAGTATGCAGGAGTGCCAAAGAGTCGCAGCTGTTTGATGAAGTTTTGATGGCTACACTGTCCCAGAATCCAAATGTCATAGACATTCAGGATCGAATGGCAGATAGTTTAGGTCTGCATCTTGACGAAAAGACTAAAGAAGGGAGAGCAGATCGATTATGGCAGAGACTGAAGACAGAGAAGAAGATGCTTATAATCCTGGATGATGTTTGGAAAGTTATCAACTTGAAAGAGATAGGGATCCCATTTGGTGATGCTCACAGGGGTTGTAAAATTCTTCCAACAACACGTCTTAAAGACATGTTCTTATATGGAGTGCCAGCCAAAAGTGTTCTTAAGTCTCTTATCAGAAAATGAAGCATGGGCTTTGTTCAAAATCAATGCAGGTTTACGTGACGCGGACTCTACCTTGAACTCAGTGGCAAAGAAGGTTGCGAGAGAATGTCAAGGACTGCCTATAGCACTTGTGACAGTGGGAAGGGCTCTAAGAGATAAATCTGATGTTGAGTGGGAAGTGGCGTCCAAAGAGCTCAGAAACTCTCAATTTCGGCACATGGAACAAATTGGTGAACAAAAAAATGCATATTCATGTCTTAAGTTGAGCTATGATTATTTGAAGCACGAGAAAACCAAGTTATGTTTCTTGCTATGCTGTTTATTTCCAGAAGATTACAACATTCCAATTGAGGACTTGACGAGATATGCAGTTGGCTACGGGTTACATCAAGATGTGGAGTCCATTGAAGATGCAAGGGAAAAAGTTCATGCGGAAATAAGAACCCTCAAAGATTGTTGTATGCTGTTAGGCACTGAAACTGAAGAGCGTGTGAAAATGCATGACTTGGTTCGTGATGTTGCTATTCAGATAGCATCATCTAAAGAATATGGATTCATGGTAAATTCAGGCCTTGGGTTGAAGGAGTGGCCAATGTGCAGTAAAAGCTTTGAAGGTTGCACAGCAATTTCGTTAATGGGCAATAAACTAGCAGAACTTCCTGAAGGATTGGTATGTCCACAGCTCAGAGTTGTATTATTAGAACTGGATCGTGGTTTGAATGTTCCAGAGAGGTTTTTTGAAGGGATGAAAGAAATTGAAGTTTTGTCCCTAAAGGGAGGGTGTTTGTCATTGCAGTCACTTCAATTCTCGACGAACCTTCAATCGTTGCTGTTGATGGAGTGTAAATGCAAGGAGCTCATTTGGTTGAGAAAGCTGCAAAGGCTTAAGATTCTTGGTTTTATAGGGTGCGACTCCATTGAAGAATTACCTGGTGAAATGAGGGAGCTCAAGGAGTTGAGGTTGTTGGACGTGACAGGTTGTAGAAATCTAGGAAGGATTCCCGTGAATTTGATTGGAAGCTTGAAGAGGTTAGAAGAACTGCTAATCGGGTGTTACAGCTTTAAGGAATGGGATGTCGTTGGGACAAGCAGGGGAGGAGTGAATGCGAGCCTAAGAGAACTAAACTCGTTGTCTCATTTAGCTGTATTATCATTGAGGATACCGAAGGCTGAATGCATTCCCAGAGATTTTGTTTTTCCCAGGTTGCTCAAATATGATATTTGGGTGTTAGGGAATGGGTATTCAGAACTTGATAATGAATACCCAACTGCAAAGACAAGATTATGTTTGGGTGAAATCAGCGCCACATCCTTAAATGCGAAGACATTTGAGCAATTGTTTCCTACTGTGTCTCAAATTAGTTTTCATAGAGTGGAGGGTTTGGAAAATATAGTATTGTCCTCTGATCAGATGACCACCCATGGCCATGGGTCTCGAAAGGACTTCTTGCAAAGATTAGAACATGTCAAAGTGAATGGATGTGGGGATATTCGCACTCTGTTTCCAGCTAAATGGCGGCAAGCTTTGAAAAATCTAAGGGGTGTGGAAATTAAAGACTGTAAATCATTGGAAGAGGTTTTTGAATTGGGCGAGGCTGATGAAGGAAGCAGTGAGGAGAGGGAGCGGTCGTTGTTGTCATCTTTAACAGAGCTACAACTGTCCTGCTTACCTGAGCTCAGATGCATATGGAAGGGGCTCACCGGGCATGTCAGCCACCTAAGTCTTGCTCATCTGAATTTGGATTCTCTCGACAAACTGACATTTATCTTCACACCGTCCCTCGCTCAAAGTCTACCACAGCTAGAAACACTTAAGATAAGAAGTTGTCGTGGATTGAAGCATCTTATCAGAGAAAATGATGATCAAAGTGAAATAATTCCAGAGTCTCTTAGCTTCCCGAAGTTAAAAACTCTCCTTATAGAATACTGTGGTCACCTGGAATACGTCTTCCCTGTCTCTGTGTCTCCGAGTCTTCTGAAGCTGGAACAGATGACTCTAGTTACTAGCAATTTAAAGCAAATATTTTACAGTGCAGAAGGAGATGCTGTCACCAGAGGTGGCACCATCAACTTCCCTCGGCTAAGAAAATTGTCTCTTTCAAATTGCAGCTTCTTTGGTCCAAAGGATTTTGCTGCCCAGTTGCCTTCTTTGCAAGAGTTAACCATTGATGGCCACGAAGAATCGGGTAATTTGTTGGCACAGCTCCAAGTACGTCCTTTATACTTCTCCAAGATTTTTTTCTTTTCTAATTTAAATTGTCTACTTCAATACACTGATAATTTCTTCTTTCTTCCTCCAAATTTCTGAAACTAAAGCAATTGATAAGCTCTTAATTATGCACTGAATTTATATACAAGAAAAAAAGTGATCCATAATAAAGCATTTTTACTTTATATACAAGAAATCTTACTACTATGTAAAATTAAAATTATTTTTTCTTATATATTTGTTTTTGGTTAATGTCATAATTTGTTTTTTTATAAATCAAATATTAAAAAAAAACTATTTTTTAGTTAATAAGTGTAATCTTTTCATGATTGCTTTTAATTTAACTAATATAAAATAATAATTTATATTTAGATTATCATAAATATGAAAAATTATGATTTCATAATCCGCTGACCCATTGCCCTATCTATTTATATCTTTTTTATTGATTAAGTATTTTGCTGAAGTATCGGGGATAATTGTTTCACCTATTTACCAAAATTATATAATAGTTTCAAAGTGCACAAACGTTCCGAGGAATTATATCTAACAAAATGGCACCTGTATTTATTTAATTGTTTTTATGCAGGGCTTCACAAGTTTGGAAGCATTACAGTTGTCCTCACTGCCTGTGCCTGACATGAGTTGTATATGGAAGGGTCTCGTGCTGAGGCATTTGACTACTTTGGTGGTGAGGAAATGCGAGAGACTGACGCATGTATTTACAGGCAACATGATTGCTAGTCTGGTTCAACTAGAAGTTCTAGAGATATCAACTTGTGATGAATTGGAGCAAATCATAGCTAAGGATATTGATGATGGAAATGATCAAATATTGTCAGGAAGTGATCTCCAATCTTTATGCTTCCCCAATTTGTGTCGAATTGAGATCAATGTATGCAACAAGTTAACGAGTCTCTTCCCAATAGCCATGGCTTCAGGTCTCCCGAAGCTCCAAATACTTAGAGTAAGCCAATCCTCTCAACTACTGGGAGTATTTGGGCAGGATGATCATGCTTCACCTGTCAATGTTGAGGAGGGGATGGTGCTCCCTGAACTGCAGGAGCTGTATCTAGAACAATTACCGAGGATTGTCTACTTCAGTCTTGGATGTTATCAATTCTTATTCCCTCGACTGGAGATGTTGAAGATGCATCAATGTCCAAAGCTGACCACAAAATTTGCTACTACAACAAATGGTTCAATGAGTGCTCAATCAGAGGTGCTGCTTATTTGACATGATTTCTTGCCTTTCTTTCAGTGTTACAAGTTAGAATGTGTATGCCTTGCTTGAATTGGCTTTGCAGGTATCTCAAGTAGCTGGGGGTTCAAGCATTGGTCGCTCCGTGCCAACCAACACTCGTAGAATGTGGACCCGAAATAATGGGTGGGAGGAGGAGGAGGAGGAGGAGGACGACGAGGACGAGGACGAGGACGAGGCCGAGGCCATAATAAGATTTATTCGTTTTCTACTTGATGATGATAGGTAAGAAGATTAGTTTGGCATTGGGATTTGAAAAGCATGCTAATAATTCAATATTTCCCCAACCAAGTAATATGGCTGCAGTTATTTATGCTCTATCCTTTTCCTTCAACTGTTACTAGTTGAAATAAATTAACATATGCGATATGCCTGAATGGTCGTTGTTCTTCATGTTTGCATAAGGGTGGCTGGTTACCTCGTCATGCGATGATTTCACGGAGAATCATGTCTTTGAGCGGTGGTGCTGCGAGTATTCTTTTAATTCGTGGAAGTAATTTCAACTGTTTCATTGGCAATGAGATGCAATTTGGCTTTACATTGTAACAGTCATATTTACCATACAACTCCTAAAAGAAGGATATTGAACTTCTAGAAAATAAGGGCGTATGTCATCATGTTCTGTCTCCAGTCATTTATTGTGCGAACCTCAAGAAATAAGGGCGTATGTTTGCTTGCCCATTTGTGTTTCTTTTCAAGTGTGTGAACCTTCAAAAACAAGTGAAGGGTATAATGTTACTCGTCTGTGTGCTTATTGTTTAATGTGTGGATTTTCGTTCTCCTTTCTGCTCAAACTAATGGCTCTACGACTTGTGTATTTGCTTCGTCAACATGTTTTTTCTGTCATTTTGATGTTCTGTTTCTATTATGATTCTTTATGAGGTTTTGAAATAGGCCTTAGCAATGCTGCTTGAAATCTGGAATGAATGTTACTGTAAAATACTATATATGTTCTTACAAACACATGTACTTATAATACCCATTCTACTAATACGAGTGCGCGCGTACATTTAGATCTCAAGTTTAATTATTATTTTTTTTATAGTTCGTATTTGTATATATAGCAAGTTACTTGGTTAACTTCTTGGGTGTGTGTATTACCATACAGAAATATGGTTTCTACATTGATATATAAATATGTGTAAAAACAAATCAACTTATAAATTTATTGATAGAATGTTAATGAGTAAAGGATTGTACTTTTATTTTTAATAAATAAACAATAAATTAAATTTATAAAAGTAACACTCTCAAAACAATAATATAAAGGAACACAAAAATTAATCAGCTTGTGGTCTTTTTTTTTAAAAAAAAATTTAGTTCTAGATTGATATAGTAAGAAACAAACCATTTATGAGTTATTTAATTGATTAATCAAGTCGAGTCATATTTTATAATACTATGATTTATTATTATTAAAAATTCAATTAAAACCAACAGAATTATTA